TCAAAATGCAGTTCTAATTTCTTTAAAATGTAATTCAAATTCAAAACGTAGGTCTGACTTCATCAAACGCCCTCTCCAAATTCTATTCCAAAACGTAAATCAAAAACCAGCCTGGTTTGAAATGCATTTTACAACAACACTAGAAATGGACTGCGTATGGCACTAGACTTGCGAAATGTAAATCTAAACCAGCGTGACCACTCACAATTTTTGATACATCCAATGACTAGGTCGAAATTACCCAAGATTCAGCAAAAATTGCCCAAAATTACCCAAGCTTCATGAAAATGCATTAAAATTTGAAAAAAACGTGTTTTTCGTATGTATAGTTTCACTTTTAATATTCATGAGGCGATAATACGGATGGAAGAATACGCCCTCAGTCGGCCAGTGTTATAATTATCTCATCAGTGATCAAGTTTTATTATGTAATGCATTAATTAGGTAAGATCAATGGCAACGCAAATCACAAATAAACAATTTTGAATCCATGTTTATAGCAATTAAGTCAATTAACAATGTTATGTGCACTTCGTTGAGTTTTGCTTACTTGAATCGACTGAAATATACTTTGTTACTTCTCAATTCTTCCTCTATGACAAAAATATTTAATTTTCTTAGTAAAAATAAAATACCCAAGGATTTGAACGGAATACCCAAGAACCCAAGACCAAGTCAAAATACCCAAGATCTTGGGTAAATACCCAAGCAGTGGTCACACTGATCTAAACTAATCAGCCAAGCATGATGTGGGCCTGTTCCATTAATGATGGGGGAATCATTTTTCGCTGCAGTCCAATTTCGTGAACAATGTTTCCCAGGGCGTCTGCTAAATTTTAATGGCCAGGGTACCGCGATCACAAGCCCTGGTTAGGTTAGGCTTATGTGGGCTGGGATTTGCAACAAGGTCTTGGATTAGGCCTCTATATACTGTAGGAGGCCTGGTCCTAGTCTAGGCCTATAATATAGTAAAATTCTCTACAAGTAGTCATATGATTACAGGTTTACATTGTACCATGATTGATATTAACAATCGCATTTATTTTTCATTGAAAATAAAAAGAAAGCTTTAAATAATTTAACTTATGGAATTCCAAACCTGTACGCTTAAAATTAAATAATTAAAATATAAAATAAATAAATAAAGTTAAACTTAAAACACAAACAACGCAATAGGATATAAAGTTTGAGAAGTTTTGGTATAATGTACTGTATTTCTGAAGTGCCATCGTTTTGGGGTTGCTACAATCAGGAGTTACAATCGATCCAACAAAGGAAAAGCACTATCTATTTCCTTACATTCGAAAAAGGAGGATTTTGGATCCTATTTAAATTTGCTGTAGATTGAAAAATTAACTATTAACTCCGTTGCAACATAGAATGGTACATGACTTTCGGACTGGTATAGGTTTTCAGTAGATCTATGTACTCTAGGTGTAAATAAATACAGAGAACAGGCCAATTTTAGTGAGAACTAAACATTGTTTTAATAACGTAGGGCCTATATACAATGTAAAGCAGATTGATCACAAAATCAGAAGCATGATTTCAAACATCTGAACCCAGCTTTTATTGTTTAAAACTGTCGGAGCCCCAAATGAAACTACGGTATTATAGTTTATATATTTTTTTTTACACTACAATGTCGGTGCCCCTCGCACCTGGGCCCTGGCACCCCCCCCCCCAGTGAAAAATGAATCCCCCATCATTAATGGAACAGGCCCACGTCACGCTTGGCTGACTAGTTTTGATTTACATTTCGCATGTCATGTGTTGTTGTAAAATGTATTTCAAACAAGTCACGCTTGGTTGGTTTGACATGGACTTTTGCTGCTTATGGCACAGACACACAAAATGTAAGTCAAAACTAGTCAGCCAAGCGTGACGTGGGCCTGTTCCATTAATGATGGGGGATTCATTTTTCGCTGCAGTCCAATGGCGTGAACAACGCTTCCCAGTGCTTCTAATTTTTAATGGTCAGAGTACCGCGATCACAAGTTGAGGCTCGTAGGCGGGGGGGGGGGGAGAGAGTTAATTTTGGTGCCAATTTGTTTGGAACATTCATGTTTCTATTTGGGTCATTCCGTGCCAACTCAACAAATTTTCAGAAAATATATAATGTGCACCAACATGTCTGATGAACAAACCCAAAATTTGACTTGCCAATTCCAAGTCGTTTAGAAGTTACGGCCATTAAAAATTTTCTCATCACAGGTAAATTTACGGCAGAAGCTAGTAGAAGGAAAACAATTAACTTTTAGATTAGTAACCGATAAAGCCGAGTTTGATTTTATAGTTTCTTCAACTCTAGACGATAAATCTCTAGTAGGAGCACCCCTAAAATGTCCACCTGGTCATATACTGTATTAAGCTACTACAGCAACCTCAGTACACTCAACTTAGAGCTTCAATGCTAGCCTACGTCCACATTAATCTAATTTCATGGCCTTTCACCTACCTTTATTAACACCCTTGCCCATCCTTAAAATCCACTCTTATTATTTAGAATTTACCAATGTTATCACAAACCCACCCTTAGTTTTCTATAGTTACAACAACCCTTGGATATGTACTGTATGTCTTAATAGTTAAAAGCATTCTCTTTGTGTGAAATTAAACAAATGGAATTGGAAGATGAAGATGGAATTGGAAGATTGGTGCAAGGAGGAAATTTCCCTCCGACTTCCCAAAAAACCCCTTTCGAAAAATGTCCCTACTTTCCGTCCCATCATATATAAAAACAATATTTTTTCTTGTGAACAAAACATTGAAATGAATTGATATTGTTTGTAGTCATAAATCATTAGTTACTACTAAAAGAATTTGATTATTAGTACATTTATAAACGCTTGCATTAACTGAGAAGTAAAACTTGTTATTTAATTTTTGATCAATTTGTTCATTCCAACTTGCCACCAAAATAGTTCTAGTTGCCATGGTTATTTGCGTATCATGTTTTCTGTTTTATGTCAAATTAAAGTAGGTGATAGTAACTTAATTAGATAATAAAAAGACTGTTAATAACCAGATCTAATAACAGTACTGATTACCGAACGTTCGACATCACCCGCGTGTATTGGCCGTGTGTTTCACAAGTGAAACGCGAGTGTCATTAAAAAAATTTTTTTTTAATAGAAAGTGAAGTCAATATGTGGCAGCGACAAGGAGAAACAGTCGCAAGTTGCAGTGGCCATTTTGAAATATAGGCCAAAACAATGGTAGAGGTCAATATTTTCACAAATCAAGTTATCAACAGAATCATATTAAATAATCAGATTCACTCAACATTTTAATTACTTACTTTAAAATGCCAAAACTCATGATTTCAGAGAGCTGCTATAGCCCAGAAGTATGAAAAATTACATTCTTTTACCATATCTAACCTGTACTAAAGCCAGCCTTGTCGTGTTCACTATCATTATAAAGCTAAAAACCGAAAGGTCCACTGATTAATCTCAGATAAGATAGTATACATACTCCAAGTATTGAAATGCACGCCATCGCGTCAGGTCATCAGGAATTCCTGATGTTGACATAATTAATGTCGAAAATTAGCTTTATAATAAGATAGTATAATACATTGTATAAGCTCAACTATAATGGTTGGTCAATCCATTGAGAACCTTTATTTTCACCAATTAAAATCAGGTTCTTTTCATGTGTACAAACCCAAACTCTCCTTGACGGCGACTATGACTATGAGAAGTTGATTGGTCGACTGGATTTTTTCAACATTTTATTACTCATTGCACATGCTTTGGGCAAAGGTAAACGCTTCCTTCTTTAGTTTTATACAAGTTTGGTTTAATAATAATTTAAATTTAATTATAGCAGCAAGTATAGCTTAAAATAATTATTGAATGTGTTTTTTGAACGAATAACATTTAACTATTGAGTTTACTATATGAAAAAAACTGTATTTTTATGTGTAGGAAATTTACAACTATTGCTCCGAATTCACGCGAACTAATCATGCTACAAAATTTACTATTAATACCGCATTTTACCAGACATGGCGAAATTATTCAAACAACAAATGTGCCAAATTTCAGCATATTTGGAATATGTTAAGTCCCTGTGCTAAGAGTAAAGTAAGCTTCCCCGAACCGCGAGTCAGCTAGGCTGGTTGCACATCCGGTTTAAACAAAGACGAATTTCGATATTAAAACAGTCATAACTTCCTAAGTACTTATTGGATAAGAATGATTTTTTTCACTCATTAAGTTTAGAATTCATTTTTTTACAAGGTATTATTATCTCCAAACTTTCTGTTCCCGACATCCGACTGTTTCCCCTTGTCACCGCCACATATTAATCACAGCATAATATGCCTTACCATTGTGATGTTATTGCCATTTAATAAGATCTGATCTAATTTAGTGACTCTTCTACCTTCAGCAGTGTTCTCACTAAAAAAGAGAATTAAAGAAAAAATAAAAATATGTATAAAAAATAGGTAAGAGGAATATGATGAATTGGCTAAAGATAACTGGTGCAAAATAATATTAAATAAGTTTAACAGGTGTTTACAGTCAATATTTTTTTCCCATAAATAGATTATCATCTGCAATCCACAAGAAACAATTACACAATTTACAATCAATCACTCAGTGAGTCCTAAGGAGTGGAGCAGATGGAGGCACTGTTTGCATAAGATTGAAGAGAAAAAAATTAAATTCAATCGAAAAAATTAAGATTTAAAATGTTCGGTCCATCAAGAAATATGTAAATAAAGAAAGAAATGTTAAATGACAGCAATTTCAATCATGAACGTGTTTAATAATCGTAATTATAAGTTAGTGGTGACGTCCTCACTTTTATTTGCACTGAATTTTCCTATCCCCGACTGATCACTAATTCGATATAGTGTTTTTTTGCGTCCATGTGCCAAAAGCTCAAAGGTGGGATGATTTCCATCGTGATGGAATATTTTGTTGCTAGGTCAAACTAGGAATGCACACCAAACCTAACAAATCTTGCTCTACAGGGATGGTCAATTCATAATAGTGTTTACAATACATTTTAATCTCTTAAACAAATGTCTACCTGCAGGTAGACATTTATTAAATATATTCATCTTCTTCGTATCGCAAAGAAGAGTAAAGACATTTGTAAAGAGTGTCAGTGAGCGTAAACAAATCATTCTAATACGTGCAGTTAATGCCCACGCACAGTAATCACTGAGCAACTGGCCACCACAACCAGCAGTTTGATTCATGAATAAATAGTATACCGCTTTATAACCAGCAGTCTGATTAAAATGCCATAGAAAAGGTAATCGACATCACATCTGACTTATACAGCAAATAGTCAAGTTTGTTGTACGCTATAGGAAATGGAAGCCTTAGAAGCCATTATTTCCTTCAGTAAATTTTTTCAGGAAATATGGCTCCTAAGGCTTCTATCTCTTACAGTATAGTGTACTTGAAACCTATATATATAATTTGTACTTACAACTCTACAACATCTTCTAGTACCATATCTGGGATCAGGAAATGATGGAAAACAATGGTGAAATTCTTGCTATAGAGCTATAGTTCCAAGCTTTTATATATACTGTACAGTAATTGGATATTTCAATGTGTGTTCTATAATTTTTTTATAAAATAATAACAATTGGTACTTGAGATTGACCATTACAATTTCATTGGAATAATATTCATGATATACTATGTTTTTTTTTTCAAAATGGTATATTTATTCAAAATTCAAAATTTAAATAAAGACATAAAACATAACAGCCAAAAGGCTGAATTGCGAATTATGTTAACAATTAAAACCATTAAAAAAATCAAACAGCAAAGATAAAAAAAACAAGTACATCAAAAAGAGAAAAATATTGCAAAAGGATCGATATTCTATCAAATTCGTCATTATTATAATTATTGTTATTATTATTACTATTAATTTATTTAGTTATGAATACTAATATAAAAAAGATCAAAAAACATCATAACAAGTAGATCAAAAAAAAGAGAAAAAAAGATTGCACAAAGATCGAAATTTGTCATTATTATAATTATTATAATTGTCATTATTATTATAGTTAAGAAAAATAATACAAATCAAAAAGGACATCATAACAAAAACATCAAAAAGAGAAAAAAGATTGCACCAAGGTCAAAACATAATTATTGTTACAATTAAGAATATTATAATCAATATTATTGTCATTATTATTTATTATCCTTATTATAACTAATTAATTAATTAAGGATTGTCATTAAAAATATCAAGAAACAAAACAAATGAGAAAATCACAAACATCAGAGAAAAATTACAATATAGAAAAATACATAGAATAAATTGCACAGGGACCAACAAGGAAGGCAAGGGGGAGGGGGAATCACTGAACCGCAAAAAGGGCAATAGCATGCACCAAACCCCCAGGGGAGAAGATAGTTATTAATTATTAATCATTGGAGTTAATTAAGTTAACAAGGTATGGTAATGGGCTGTTTTGATATCTTTTCGTTCTACAACGAGGTATAGTAAATTTAGTATTGCACCTAGTATTATAGGAGTTGACCCTTGCGGGAGGGAGCAAGTCATGAAGTTTAGAATACGGATGAACAAGGGTTTGTGCAAAGGAAACGCATAGGTTATGTCGTCTATCAGACAATTTGTCCAATTGGAATTGGGATAGTGCGTCGTCATACGACAAGAAATTAATACCCAGGATAATTCTACATGCCCTCTTTTGGACTCGCTCGATGCGGGAATCCCAAAGTTGTGTAAGTCCACAATTCTACACAGGAACTGCATATTCTAAAATAGGACGGACTGTACTAATGTAAACAGTGATAAGGTCAACAGGGGGAACACCATGATGTTTAAGGGCTCTTAAAATATATAATTTACTATTAGCCTTTTTGACAATATATTCGACATGTGAATCCCATTTAAGATTACCTGAAGCATAACTCCAAGAACTTTAACAGTGTCAACTGCTTTCAGAACATGATCATTCAGAGAAATAGATGAAGGAATAACGTTCCTTTTACTAAAACTAATGTCCATAGTACAACATTTCTTGGGGTTAAGCTTCATATTGCTACCTGAAGCCCAATCATGTAGCGCAGTTGCACATGATTGAAGTTCAGATTGGTTAACAATATTACGATACTCGATTAATGTAAGATCATCGACAAATTTGAAATGTTTAACAGGAGCATTTTCAGGGGGGGAAGACATTATTAATCATTGCACAGAAGACAACGGGGCCAATTTTGGTCCCTTGAGGGACACCAAAATTGACAATACAACTATCAGATAAGTGACCCCTATACTTGACTTGATAATGTCTGTTGCTGAGAAAGTCAGCAATCCAAGCAACATTGGTAGGTGAAACGTTCATATTTATTAGTCTAGAAACCGCAATCGTATGATCAACTAAGTCGAAGGATTTTGAAAAATCAGTGAACAAAATGGAAGACACAGTGGAAGGAGTTTCAGCATGCCGATATAGCGAGTCCATAAGACTAATTAAGCAATAAGATGTAGACACTTTTCGCTGATTCCCAAACTGCATCGGGTCAAGCATGGTATTCATTTCTTTCAATGTATCTCTTGCCACAAAGTGTTCTGCAATTTTTGCAAAAAAATTCTATGTAATGATTTTTCTGATTTTAAAGGGACCTTTAAAGAACTACTATCTTTCAAAATCAAGAAATTTTTTTGGCTTAAAGTCAAAATTTGAATTGATTAATTTGTTTATATAATAAAGTTATGAACTTTCAGTCGAAAACCGCAATACTCAATCAACCAACAAATTAGTTGGGTATGAAAATGCTGTTAATAATTATTTCAAACGGCCAAGAAATGTTTATTTAAATTTAGCGCATGCGCATTACAAAAACTGCTTGTCGCTTAAGATTGCATCAACAGTCCTGCCTTCTGTTGACGAGCATGAGCGAGGCCAAACGGGAAGTCCCTATGACTGATGTGTGCTTCATATGGATACTCGACGCTGCAATGTGTTTGAAGAAATAGTCGTCGAATGTAGGCCTGAAACACTAGTAGAGAACAAAGTGTTTCATACGCCGGCGGGTCCATATATAACTCCATGGAACATACTGTACCATGGAATACTCTTTTGGTTTTTCTGAATAAAATAAAATAATTTTTTGCCCTGTATGGCCTGGTTACATTTAAATATTGTCTATTGTGTGCAATTTTTTATGATTTAACTTGTTTACCATATTCCTGTGTAACTGAATCAAGATTTTGATGTTCGCTGCAATCTTTTATATATTTTGTGTAGTTTTTGATTTCTGAATAACAATAATAAACAGTAAATTTATTTTATTTCAGGATTACAGGGGCATGCAGACAAGATGTACTTGCAATTCCGCACTAGAGATGATGGACATAGATAAATGCAGCATGTCATCAGTCTATTCTATGGCAACATAGTAGATCAGAAGGTAAATTTCCAGTAGCTGAGTCAAAAGGATCCGGGACAGATACCCCAACCCATTTTAACAGTATTCTGGTTTCCAGCATTCAACATACCCATTTTAAATTTGTTGATACTGTAAAAAAAAAATGTAGAGCTTACACTACTAACAGGTATGTAGTTTCAAGCAGTATTGAATTTTGTAATTTCTTTTTTATTGTACTGTATATATTCAAACTTGATTTCAAAAATGGTATAAATAACAAACTTTCTGTTGAAGTTTTGTGATTATGCTGAAGTTAAAAAAAATGTTTAAATAAATACCATGTTCATTGGACATAAATAGTACTGTGGATATAGTTGATATTTTACTGTTGTTGTACAGTACCAATGCCAGTGTTAAAATACCATCTTTTCAAAATACAGGTGCATGAAACATAAACCACTGTAATAGGATTTATACACTTTCACAACAGTAAATTGCAGTTGAAATTGTTTAGCCCACTTGGATAAATTCTTGATAGGCATTTATTTTAATTCCTATTGGAAATACCTCTGATAAACGTAATTAATCAGATCTGACAATCCAGTAACATTTCCTGTCTACTGTATGTATATGGTTCATAAATCACTAAACTTCCAGTAATATAACAAGTACAGTAAAATATAAAACCAAATGCTGTTGCTACTACCAAAATTAGAGCTTGACACAAGCTTGCGTTTTATAGAAGCTTTTTGCATTACACGCTATATAACCGGTGGAGCTTGTAAAATTTACAAAATGCTACTTTCTAAAATTTATAACCAATGCATTATACATCAGTAAATTAAAGTACAGTATTGTACGTTCAGCCCATGAATTTCACGTCGTATTGCCAAACCAGAATTGCTTCAAAAACTGCTTGGAAAGTCAAAAACTTTGACTGAAACAGGCTATAGCAGACACTAAATTTCATGTATGTCATCAAACCAAGGAAATTGGTGGTTCATAAAACAGACTTGTTTGTACATTAACTATTTCTAATAGGCATGCAGTACATATGATTTGTGTACAATCGTCTTGTCTTTCTCGCCTAGTCGTTTTGTAGGCTAGGCATAGGTAGGAATGACGCTAGCCAGCCAAGTCCTACAACATCGCCTAATTGAAGCCATGTGGGCCGCATAGATCGTCATGCTTATCTAAATCTATTATTTGTCTTCATTTTACAGTATTATCATACTTAAAATGTTTTTATCTTAAAAACCACAAAATTCAACATATTGTAGGCCTAATCCTACCGTCCATTTAAACGCACAGTGGCGTATCTAGCAGTATTAAAATGGGGGGCTGGTGGGGGGCGCGACCAAAATATGAGGGGGCATGGAATTTATTTTCAGTGGCCACGCCCACTGAAAAATATTGCTTCTTAGATTCCCGAATACACGTTAACCGTGACAGCATAAGCATAAGCCTAATTTTTTTTGCTTTTGATGCAGCCTGTGATGATACGATCATAGCTTTTACGCAAGTGATATTTCCCATGCCAAAGATAACGATAAAACGAACGCTGAAACGAAATTTTTTTGGCAATTTTCTTATGTAAAACATATGTATTATACTACACTATTAAATTAATACAAGTACGACCATTCTTTCACCAACAATATATTGATTTAATAGAGAAATTAACAAAATCACAATCTGTAGATGACGATGTAAGGTCGAGCGTTTATACTATATAGGCCTAGGTAGTAAAAATTTACCGAGGCTGCCGACCTCAGAAAATTTAAGGTTGACCTAATTTTTTCCAAATTTCATGGGCTGTACATTGAATTTCATTCATGAACCAAGGCACAGTTTAATTTGTAGGGCCTATTCTGGCCTCCCTTTATATGACAAAGTCAAAGTATCCTTTATTTGTCCAACTGATAAATATACAGTCTTCAGAAGGGGGTTACGATCTATTTTCCTCCCAGTTTTTAAATATATCAAAATTTGTATCTCATTAACGGCTTCTGAATTTTTCGTCAAATATGCTTTTTGTGCTTCGAAAAATCAGTTCTAAAATATATCGAAAAAAAATTTCGCTTTAATTGACAACTGG